ATATATACACCAAAAAACAGCATATATTTGCCTCTAAGAGAATTTTTCTCAAAGTTGAGAACCCATGATTTTTCTTCAGGGTTATCCTACTATCGCAAGCAAGTATTTTTTAGTTGATAGGAGACTAATAAAAAATGTTTAATTCATAAAGACTATTATAGACATTTTCCAGCTCCAATGTGGGGCATGGCTGATTACGGATTAAATGTTAAATCATATTATAGACAGATATTACCTCAAAGCAAGATCTAAGAATAGATAAGAATATAGGATGTTCATTTATATTAGCAATTCGCATGTTCGAATTGATTGGAAAATCAAATTTGATTATTTAATGCATGGACGCCTAAAACTTATGATTCAGATCATGCTCTGCTATGTATCTCAACAGTTTATTCACGAATGAATGCATTTGCCAAAACATATCTACATGACTTAAAACAATCATTTACCAGGTGCAGTACTGTATCAAACTGTGTGTACCAGGACCAATGCCGACATCTAGTATTTATTTATTTATTTTATTTATTTTGTTTGACATTGTATCAAATGTTGCCAATTTACCAGCTGTTTACCCACGTATAAGATCATATAGTCGGGTAGAGTTATTGAATATGAACATACCAAACACGACACCGACTCTAGAAACTCTACTTTTTAATGTCAAGTCTGTGTGTTTTACGTACTAACGAGAGCGCTGCAACACTATCAAGTCAGCCCAATATAGGCGTACCAGCACACGACTGCACACAGGTGTCCAGCCGAAAATATCGGCACCCACGGATAAAAAAAATGCCCTGCTATAAATTGATATATAAGGTAAAGCTTCGAAACCTGAAGCAGGCCGGAGTGCCCATCTCTCTTAAGTTGATATATATTAATAAATATAATAGGCCTACTGTATACAGGATAAGTTTTTTTGCAATTATGGAAAAATAAAAAAATATTATTGATAGAAATAGTAACAAATTATTATTATAATTATATCTATAATGTTGATGATGATAAATATGACGGTGACAATGACAATTACGAAGACGACTGACCAACGATATTGATAACGGTAACGATAACGACATGATAAATGATAGCAGTAGATGGTATGTAGTAGTAATAATATAAATAATAATAATCGTAATAATAATAATAAGAGCAACAACAACAATTATTGGTGTAATTTTTCCCTACCTGACGTGGAAATTACTATCAACAACATAATAATAATAATAATAATAATAATAATAATAACAACAACAATATTAATAATAAGAAAGATAATTAAAAAAAACCTCAAAACGGAAAGAGGGGGGTGGGGTCCTCCCCGGGAAAATTTTGATTCCTAGATGGCTCGAAATGAGCCGGCCATGTTACACACTAGAATTATTCATGCAGTGCATGTTATTAAGCACAGACTGAACTCCTATTAACATTAACAATACGACACTTCTCCAAATTTATAAAGTTAACTTTCCTTAGGCGATCATCATTTTAATTTTTTTTTCGTAACTACTGTAATCTAGAGGCCTATACATTATGCTTAAACGATTATCGGTGACTTAAATCCAGCTAACGTCATGTCGGACGCGATTATGCTAGCATTGTAAGTCAGCGGTATCCATTGTACGTGTAGCAGCGAGAGCAAAAACCTATCAACAATTTTATCAAGATGTGATCCACACATTATATATAACGATATACTAGAGGGAAGATCTCCCTTTGATGGCTACCATCTCAAGTGTATTAAGAAAAAATAAACTTTGCACTTTGAACTTTGGAATTGCACTTCACTTTACAACTGGAATGAATGTGTTTAAGATAGGATTACTGTCCACGTTGAGTTAAGCAACTTATTTCAAGACCACCTTTAATTTGTATCATCATAATCATCATTATCATCATCAAATCATTACAATGTAATCATTTTTCTATCAATATCAATAATAATCGTAATAATAATAATAAGAGCAACAACAACAATTATTGGTGTAATTTTTCCCTACCTGACGTGGAAATTACTATCAACAACATAATAATAATAATAATAATAATAATAATAATAACAACAACAATATTAATAATAAGAAAGATAATTAAAAAAAACCTCAAAACGGAAAGAGGGGGGTGGGGTCCTCCCCGGGAAAATTTTGATTCCTAGATGGCTCGAAATGAGCCGGCCATGTTACACACTAGAATTATTCATGCAGTGCATGTTATTAAGCACAGACTGAACTCCTATTAACATTAACAATACGACACTTCTCCAAATTTATAAAGTTAACTTTCCTTAGGCGATCATCATTTTAATTTTTTTTTTCGTAACTACTGTAATCTAGAGGCTTATACATAATGCTTAAACGATTATCGGTGACTTAAATCCAGCTAACGTCATGTCGGACGCGATTATGCTAGCATTGTAAGTCAGTGGTATCCATTGTACGTGTAGCAGCGAGAGCAAAAACCTATCAACAATCTTATCAAGATGTGATCCATGCATTATATATAACGATATACTAGAAGGAATATTTCCCTTTGATGGCTACCATCTCAAGTGTATTAGGAAAAAATAAACTTTGCACTTTGAACTTTGGAATTGCACTTCACTTTACAACTGGAATGAATGTTTTTAAGATAGGATTGCTGTCCACGTTGAGTTAAGCAACTTATTTCAAGACCACCTTTAATTTCTATCATTATAATCATCATTATCATCATCAAATCATTACAATGTAATCATTTTTTTATCAATATCAATGCTACAGAAAATTGGTATATAGGCTTAACATTTATATAAAGTATTATATGACTTACAAAAGTATAAAAATGAAAAAAAAAATTATAAGAAATATTTGTCAACTTCCCAACATTGTTAGCATATTTTATTACAGTGGGATAAAAACTATTCATATCTTAATACGGTATAACATTTTATAGAGTGATATTATTTTGTAATCCCTTTTTAAACAAGTATAACAAAATGTTAAAAAATACTCAATATATGAATTTTGCGTATATATAAGTAACATGTAACATTTAAATTTAAAAAAAATCATCGTCAAATACCTGACGCATAATACCATTTTCATTTTCTTTAGAACCTTATATTGCTGGTAATCAGTTTAAATATAATAATAATATAAAGTTCTACTTATATTGCGCATAATGTAACAAGGTTCTATGCCCTTTACAAACAAAGATTTTAAAAACGTAAAACATGTGAATTAGTGATAACCTATTTTGCTGATGTATGTAGGCCAATAAGATAAGAAGTATAATATTGATTTTGATTTCATATTTCATGAACTCTTTCCACGAATTGTCTATATAGAAAACGGGGAAAGATATCAAGATTGATTTATTATGCAATGCACAAATTTGTAACAATAATTTCAAATGATTACAAACATTATATTTTTATTAGTTAGCCAGAAGGATCATTTGTTTACGTAAAGTGACAATTAGAGTTTTCTCAAGAAAGATAGAAGTGTGGTTGATGATTGTAATTACAATCAAGAACAAGACGGTTACGAATCACAATGGGTTTAATTAAATATTTCGTTGATGTTTTGCGTCAGAATTAATAGGGATGGTGATTTGTCCTATACCTGACCTGTTATCGTACTGAATGCTCAGTACGTTCCCTAATGCTTGCCAAAACAATGTTCCAAGTGATACGCGTGGGTATCGAACCCACGACCTCGGGATAACTATCCTGGTATCACAACCATGACAGACCACCGAGCTTGTTGAATCCGATCCCCAAATTACAACATCGTCGAAATCAGGGGTGGCGCCAGGATTTGCCCGA